CATTACAATGGCTTGTATTTAAGCACTACATTACATATTCATAAACTTCATCTGTGAACAGCAGAAGTCAAGAGAATATGATCTGAGAGAACACATCCCCCATACATGGGACTCTTCCAATAATAATCTTTTTCACTCTAATTTTAGCGTGTGGTCAAACTGCGAAGCTATTTTAGGAAAGACACCTGATTTGTCAATTTAAAAGACGTAGTAACATTGGAGGTTTAGTTTTAATAGTTAATCAAATATGTAGAAACTTGCGCCTGGATTTTCGGAGCGTAATTAGTAAGGAAAGAGGAAGAAAAATTCTAACTGTCCAGCGCATTGAAAGAGCTTTCAGAGCCACCTTAAATTTTCAAAACTTTAAGGTGACTCTCAACCCCATGTACAGAGTTTTTCAAACTTTGCCAAAAGTTGCGTCTTATCATGCTTATTAAAATTTGATAAAATAACAAAATTTCACTGTGCCGTTTTTGAATTATAAGCCTCTAAAGTTGTAATTTATTAAGGGTGTTTTTAGCAGGTCATAATGTTGCTATGGTAACCTATTGTGTCACGAAAATGATAACAACGTGTCTACCAATGATTGGGCAGTTTGTTTGGTATCATAATTGTAGCATCAAGTGATAAAGAGTGGTAATAATGACCTATCAAAATCTAACTGCTGGAAACTGCTTTGAGCCACCTTAACTTCGCTCTGCAATTAAGAAAAAATTACTACAAAATTACAATCATATGCTATGAATTAAAAAAGTTAGCGAATGGCGCGAGTGTCGTCATATGATATCCCAAGCTATTCCAAAATATGCTTCTACAATTATTCCAAGATTTCAAAATAATTTTGTTGTTCAATACGAGAGTAGACAAAATTTTAGTTTGGGACAATATAAAGTGTCTACAATAGACCATTTTACAATTGTCTGCTCAGTGAGGCTGGAGTTGACTTTGTTTTGATACAGACCTCACTGCTTTGGTAATGTAAATGCACCTAGTTAGCATCAGAACAACTTGTTTTATACGACAAAAGCAGTGAGGTCTGTATCAAAACAAGGTCAACTCCAACCTCGCTGCCATCCAAAGGCCAGGTCACTGAGCAGACAACTGTAAAATGGTCTATTCCGTAAAAGCAGGAGTCCGTTATAGCGGGAGTGACTTCAAAACACTTCCCTATAGTTTCGACTCAAGGGATGTAGCTTCAACCCGTAAGAGCAAGAAAGGTGTCAAGATAGGAGTTTTTCTGGGCTTCATCCGGGGATTTTGTAACCAGATGTGCTTTGCCAAACTTCTTTAGTT